GGCGGGTCCCGCCGCGCTCCCCATGCGCTCGGTGGGTCCCTCCCGGGCTGGGATAGAAGCCAACGCTTCTACATCAGACACTTCAATTTTGCAGATGCGAGAACGCGCCCGTGGAACTGTAAGCGAGATCGAGAATTTGATGGGTGAAGTCCGCGGAGAGTGGGAAAGGGGCCATTCTCCTTAAAACTGCTTTCACTCGCACTCTTAAACTAAGATCATTTTCCAATCACTAATGCTTCCACTTTTGTTCCCAAGACTTCACCAAAAATGCCGACTCCGTTGTCAAAATCTTAGCTCTCTCTCCTCTTACATTTTTTTTTTTTTTTTTCAGCTGCTGTTTTCTTTCACAGTCTTCAGAAAATCTGAGTCTGGGGCTGCCCGCGGGACTTTGACACGGGAGCACGAGGTAAAGCAGGTTCTCTTGAGAAGTGCATTTTCTGTGTTAAACATTTCCTCTCAATGTTTAACGAATAAAGCAGTTATTTCCCGTTTTGTGCTGTATTAAAGTAACTCTACAGTTTTACTTATCCGGTGTGTTTTCATGTCTAGAATAATTTTTTTCCTAAGGTGTGTATGGAAACCACACTAAAAGGCATAGGAAAAGATGCTTGTGTCTTGTTATTTCAAATGCAGTTACACTCATCTAATGATCCAGTAATACCAAAGGATGTTGGAAGTGGTTTCTATTTTTGCTCACTTTGCTGCTCATTTTCAGCTGCTTTAAAGCCTGGCAGCATTTTGGGAAAATCATCCCAAATAGTTTATTTGAACTGCAGCAACAGAGTTTTGTTAAGAATTTCTTGTTCCATTTGCAATGAAATACACTTTATTATTTTTTTTTAAGGAAACATTCAACCACCTTATGACACAAAGCAAAACCCTAACATTTCCCCTTTCTGCTTTGGAGTGATGCTGTGCTAAATGGTAGTGACCTACCAGGTCCAATGTATTCCCTCTGAAGTGACAAAAACATGAATCCATTTGAATAGACAAAATAACTTAATGACAATGAGATGTATCAAACAGTAGGAAAAGACTGCATTATCCCCCAATACATTTGAAGCAATAAAAAATCTAAAAGGGGGGGCAGTTTTGCATTGGCTTATGACAGCAAAATAGATAGTTTTTGAAAAAGTCTTTTATCAGGCTTCTCCACTTCTCTAGTAATTTTCACGCTCATTTTCTCAAAAAGTTTAGGAGTGGAGCATTCAGCTTTCGTAAGTAGAAGGTCTCCTTGCTACATAATTCTTGCAGTGAATGAAATGCAGTTGAACTGATGGTAGATTTGTCAGGAAGGTTTTGCCCTTTCCAGCTAGCAGTTTCAACTGGTGTCGGGAATAGTGGCATCAGTTTGATATTCTGCCCTGTGGGATGAGGCTTTTCTGGTCATTTGTTGTTGCAGGTATATTTATGTTAATATTCCATTGCTTCCAGAAGAGTCATTCATAGTGACAAGAGCACGTCCTCGTCTAGCTCTTTTGACTGTATTCAGAAACAGTGAGATCACTCGATGTGGACTTGATTCAGTGTTTTTGTGATTATTTTTTTTCTCAAAAGCATTTCAGAACTGGTGATTTGCTAAATGCTGCTGCATTGCTCTTTCTCTAAAATGTGTTCCTGAGGCTATTGAAGGAGGGGCAGCAAACAGTCCATGCACAAAATGTTGACCTGCGAACTTCACTCTTGGTCCCACTCCCCTCACAACGCCTCTTAAGCCCAAGTTCTTGTAGAGGTCCTGTAGCACAGAATGGCTCTATTTCTTCAAAGCAGATCAAAAGATCATCTTTAAAAAAATGTCTCTTTAGAGCTCCACAATGTCTCACAGAGCTCTGGGCAGCATTTTTAGATGACTCAATATCTGGATCTAGCGAAGTCTGTTCCTAGGGGTTACAGGCAGTTTTCAATAACAGGGAGACATGAAGAAAATTCCCCCCCCCCCCCCCTTTTTCTTTTTTTTTTTCACAACACA